TTTTTTTTTTTGTTAGCCTTGCTATAAGTTTGTCAATTTTGTTAATCTTTCCAAAGAACTAACTTTTTATTTCATTGATTTTTCTATATTCAATTTTGTTAATTTCTACTCCTATCTTTATTATTTCCTTCCTTCTCTCCAGCTCTACTTAGACAATATAAAGAAGCAAAATGTGCCATTGGTGAAAAATACATATGACATCAGTTAATTGCATTTTTCAAGATGTATATGAATAGCCATTGTTTTAGTTACTTCATGCTGCTCTAACAGAAACACCATAAGTGGATGGCTTTAACAAGCAGGAGTTTATTCTCTTACAGCTTAGGAGGCTAGAAGTCCAAGTTCAAAGTGCCAACTCTAGGGGCTAGGTGAAATGCCCTTGACCTTTGATTTCAGCTCTGCCTCTTGCTTCTGGCCTACTGAAGCTTCTCTCAGGCAGTTGCTGACTGCTGAGGCTGACAAGCCCAAGGATGACAAATAAAATGGCACAGTCCCTATATTACCAAACAATATGGCAGGCCACTAGTTCAAGTCCAGAGATAGTCCCAAGATTAGCAGGTAACATGGCAGGCTACTTAATGAAGACTCAGCTACACACAGGGTCCAAGCATGCCAAAAAGGCTGCAGACCATGCCCAAGGTTGCTGCTTATATATTGGAAGCAGACTATATCCCTAAAGTAGCTACTCAGCTTCTCATGGAAGATTCCACCACAGAGTTGATTGTCAGCCTTATCATGGGGAATAACTATAATCAGCTTCCCAGCCACTTAAAACCAGGCCCAGCCAGGTAGAAACATAACCTTAACTACCACAGCCATTATGTCAGTATAGAAACTGACATTTACAGGGGTTATAGCAAAATAAATTCCCTGTGAATAAGGTAATGAGACTGGTTTTTTTGTCTTGTGGCTTGTGGGATTAATTAATGGCTACAAATCATTCACATAACCTAGGTTCTTATTCTAAATTGATTCAGAAACCCCCTAAAATTTAGTATGATGTAACCTCTGTAACCTTAGTGGGATCAGTACTTCCTTGTTCCTTATTTCTCTAGGCTACTGATAGAGGCCATGTTGAGCTATTAAGTGGCTGATCAGAAGTGCAGGGTGGGTTTTGGAGTTTCAACATAAATAATTAAGAATCGACTGTGATTTTAACCATGGCTAATTTTATGTGTATATATAAAATAAAAATTAATATAACTTAAAAATACAAAGCCAGGTCACATAATTCTAATTAATCTTATTAAATTGGTGTTTTATGAGTAACATTTTAAAACATAATGGCAATATACGGCTATGAGACCAGAAGAACTAGATGGCGCTGTCAACCACTCGGAGGGGGATCTATGTAGGAGATCCTGGATAGAGAGAGAGAACAATGTGGAACAAAACTCAAAACCATTTGGAAAAA